TCTTACATATAAATTTATTTTATATATTAATTTGCAATTATTACATAAATAGATAGCTATTAAATAGAATTTTTAATAAAACGATAGAATGCTAACACTAAAATAAACAGGTATAAAAATTGGGTAATTTATGTTTGTATAAGTAATCTACTTACTATTTTAACCAAAAATGGCTGTCTTTTCCTATTGTTGCGTCTAGTAGAGGGACGATATTGCGAAACGTGTGTTCAACTTCGGGTAAATCATTCTTTCTAAACATTGTTATGGAATCAAGGCTAGAAGAGACATACAGTCATTATGTATTATTTATCCGTAAAATAAAAATTCTACATCTATACTTACATGCGACTGAAAAGCTTTCTGAGAGCCTTTTCCTCTTCTGTTACTGTTGGTATGTCATCAATATCTTCTGCCTACAAATAAAAATACTTTAGCATGCACATTTTAATAAATTTATTGTTTTTAAACAAAATAAATTATATGATTACATTCAAGAGTTTGTCAATGAATTTCGCTTCCTCTTTAGTTAGTTGTGGAATACAAAAACGCGTCTTCGGAAGCGCACTTGACATTTGAGAGAAAACATCGGATAATAAATTTAACGTTGGGCTATGAAAGCCAGAATGATCGATCAGATAATAATAAAGTGAGCTTAAATACATGATTAAATGTCTAACAATGTCATGAATACAACTGCAAGAAAAAATAAAAGAAACTTACTCAAATGCATATCTTGTCTTTTTCAAATGATTACGATACGTTTCTACCTTCTGCATTACCACATTCCAGTCTAAACCCTCTAAATTATTCTCGACGATGTGGACAACAGATGGCTCTTGAAGATCTAACTCCATATCATTTTCTCCATCCTCTTTACAAGTCTCAGGAGGATTCATTTCATTATTAGTACTCACACTCAATGGATTCATTTCACTATTAGCACTCACACTCGAAGAATTCATTTCACTATTATCACTCACACTCAAAGGATCTACTTCGTGTTGTGAACTTTGCTGCTGATTTACGTAAATATTACTTCCGGACTCTCGAATCTGGATGGGATTAAAAATTAGAAAAAATTCAATAGATATAATACATTTTCAAGAATAAAGTCATACCTCTGTATAGATACTCTCGTTCATATTATTATTCTTATTATCTGTTGTAATGGACTGGGTACACAATTGACATAAAGAGGAGGATAATGACTCGTTTGACTTTCCTTTTTTAGACTATGACAATATAAGAAAAAACGTTAATGAATTTTAATTTATGCTATATAAATTCGAAGTTTCAGCAATAGACAATTAATACTTTTTTACGCTCTGTTAAAATAGCATCAGATTCGTCAGATTCATCACTAATAATAAATACATTTAATGTTAGATTTGCAAATTATTGAAACTTTAACACATAAAATAAACCCACGTCGGAATGTATTCGGATGAAGAATCTAATTGTGTACTCTGTTCATCTGATTAACTGCTTTCTTAGCCGGGAGCAAAGATCTGAGATTATATTGGTGTATTGCAGTTGTGTTAATCACGTTTAAAACTCCATCAGTTGTCGCTCTTGCGGCTTTTAACATCCCTTCGGCCTTGTACCACGAATCAGAAAACCGTTACTTTCTGCAAATCAACCAATGCACAAGGAGTACGCTTACTTACTCGCACATTATTCAGTTCTCTTACGTGATTAATTTCTTTCCAAAAAGTAGAAACGTTTGGATCGGACATTTGGACCTAATAGAAAAATAATATACATAGACTTACTCAACTACAACAAATATATAGTCGTCCACGACGAGCCAAAGGGTCGTCAGTAGGGCAGCTAGAAGGTGCCCCACCTAGTCGTGGCTAATTAGTCAAGAGGTATTTGTTCCATGTATAGTCGTCCACAATGAGCCAAAGGGTCATCAGTAGGGCAGCTAGAAGGTGCCCCACCTAGTCGTGGTTAATTAGTCAAGAGGTATTTGTTCCATGTATACTCGTCCACGACGAGCCAAAGGGTCGTCAGTAAGGCAGCTAGAAGGTGCCCACCTAGTCGTGGTTCCATCACAACGAGCCAAAGGGTCATCAACAGAACAGCCAAAGGGTGTCCTGCCTAGTTGCGAGGCTAATGCGCTTACCTTCAAAGCACGAAGAAGTTTCTTGGCTTGTTTTATTTGTTGATAACTAAATTTATTTTCTAAGTTTTTTTCAATGGTTCTTAGATTGTCATTCAGCCAGGAGTTCTCTTTACGGAAAATGCTACTAAAATCACTTTGTAATTTTCGAAATTGGTAGTATCCGTGAATGGTCCAACTTTCGGGGGGTTTATTAAAATATGTAAGATTTTGCATATTTAAAATGCAAGAGAATTTTTTTTTTACGTGTTTTACGTGTAAGCATAATCTAGTGGCGAGCTTTATATCATAGTGGACATTCGATTTGATTGGTTAATAAATGTAAACAATAAACGTGATCACCAACCAATCAAATCAATCACAAAATCTAATATGCGAGTAGCTAATATAACGAAGCTTTAGTTTTTACTTATTAAATTAGGCAATAAAATTGCAGGATCAAGTGTAACGTGTAAATTAATTTTGTACAACAAAACAGAAAATATTTTTAAAAAACGCTAATATCTCGAAAATTCACTTATGAAATAACTTTTTAGGTTCTAATTAAAAAAATTCTTTGCTAAATTTTGCATATAAATTAGCATTTTACTAAAATCTTAGGCCTCGCCTAACTCTAAACTAAAAGAAATTAATTTTTAATTTACATGTACAACATTATTATCTATAGTAATAAGAAGTAATTTTCTATAATTTAAGCAGTAATTTGATTTTAGAGAAAGTTTCCAGACACTTACTATTTATGTGATTTTTGTATTTACTTGAGCTATATGATTATACAATATTAATATATAATATTTTTAAAAATTTTAAACAAAGATATTTCAACAATTATCTGATGAAATTCAATAAATTTTTTTTTTATAATTTCTAATATTTGTAGAATCCAAATAAAAAAAAAAAATTAATGAATTTTATCAGATAGTTGTTGAGATATCTTTAGTTGAAGTAGATGTAGAATTTTTATTTTACGGATAAATAATACATAATGACTGTATGTCTCTTCTAGCATTGATTCCATAACAATGATTAGAAAGAATGATTTACCAGAAGTTGAACACACGTTTCGCAATATCGTCCCTCTACTAGACGCAACGATAGGAAAAGACAGCCATTTTTGGTTAAAATAGTAAGTAGATTACTTATACAAAACATAAATTACCCAATTTTCATACCTGTTTATGTTAGTGTTAGCATTCTATCGTTTTATTAAAAATTCTATTTAATAACTATCTATTTATGTAATAATTGCAAATTAATATATAAAATAAATTTATATGTAAG